TGGCTAATCTTATTCCCTCATTCACTAGTACTTTGCATTGATCGGTTAGACTTATCTACAATGGATCTCTCAGGCTCCTAAAATTCTCTAAACTTCTTAGATGGCTGCATTGGTTCTACTGACTCTGCTACTTCTCTACCCTGACCTAAAGTAAAGTCTTCTTCCGCTTCTCTCCTTGCCATAACTCTCTCTACTTCTTTTGCCTGGCAAACTAACTCGACAAAGACTCCCGATGGATTGACAGTTAAATAAGTCAAGATATCTAAGCGGAGACATTCTCTGAACTTTAAGCAATGATGGTACTCTAACGAAACCAACTCTAGGGTGTATCTACTCAACATGAGAAACTCTACCTCGTACTCGAATACTAATATGTCCCCTTAGATCAACTGAACGAACCAATCTCTCATTGTATCTATTGTGGGCTTCTCCTATATACTTTTGGCGAAACTCCTCTAAAAATCAATACCATGTGGGTCACTGGGGCTCTAACGACATCTCCACTGTTTCCCACCAATCTATCACGTCACCTTTCAGCAGTGAGATAATGCACTCTAATATTCCCTTGGGAGTAAGATACAGCTGACGGAGGGTTCTAAAGGTTTCCCTTAACTACCAGTCGGTTACAATTGGATCATCATCCCCTGACCCAAAGAATTCAATGGTCTAGTACCTCCGAAGCCTTTTTATTGGTTTCTTGAAGTGCTACAACTGGAGAAACAAACTAGATTGGCTGGACACATGGGGTAGCAGGTGCCTGAGGAGTAGCTCTAACAATCCGCTCTAAGGTAGTGGTTAGATTCCTGAAGAAAGCAACCTCTTAAACTCACGCATCTCTAGGCTCTCTATGCTCGGAGTTTAGGATGAACTTATCTCCTGAATCACTGGCTAAACGAGTTCTACTCTCGTCTCTTCCCTCTCTACTATGATCTGGGCTTCTGTCCATCTCTGAAATTCTGAAATTAAGAGGAAACAAATAATTACTATCACTATTGCAGATAGAAAAGTATGACTCAATTATTTAGGGGCATGTATACTTATAAACTCTTTATTGACACTAACTGACTCTGACCGACACTGACCAGAACTGGCATGTGGGTCCTATGAACGTCAATCATGATGCTCTGATACCACTAAATGTAACACCTACACCAGTGTGACACATAGTCAACCGATTTAAGGTGCTACATAGAACCACCAAAGTGGCCGACCAAATGTTTCTTACTTTATTTAATCACAAAAAAATTGTAAAATAAATTGAAGAATAAATAAATTCTTTACACCAAGGAGTTCCAAATTAAAGTATTTACACTTTACAAAAATGATACAGACCGCTTTACTGAAACTACGACTCAACTGGACAATAACGTTTACAAATAACATGTCCTTTAAAAAAATGCTGAGATGTACTCTGAATCCGTACTGGTCTGAATTGAGTTTTGGTTTATACTGCTCCTCACCAGATGGATCACTGACCTGCCCACAGAAACAATCCGAAGGCTGAGCTAACTAGCTCAATAATACACTAATAGCTAAAACATACTAACTTCATATCACTGAAAGGCTAGCTATCACGTTTACTGATCTGATCTGCTTAGTGAATATCCTTGTGATACTCACTCTCTACGCTATTGTAGACATCATAGTGCGGCTAAGGGATTACTGCATCTCAGAGCTCACGCATCCCTCTAGCCTACTGAGATATGGCCCCCGAAATTCTGTATCGGACACATACCCCTAACTAACCCACCCCTTGTGAATGTTAGTCCTCGGCCTTAGTTAGTCGGTTTTAAGGGTCTTGTGCCCTACCTAAGGATATATTCGGGATGCATCTATACTTTCGACTCCATTAGCTTTTCTAAAGGAACTCAGGTGTCCAAATCGTTTCCAAGCGTCAAACAGGGCTAGTCTTATTTGTCCCTGATTATTTGATTTATGTGTTTGAATTAACATTAATATTATTCCACTTGTAGTCTTATTTGATGATATAATGAAGTGTTGGGGTACCTCATGTCTAAATCCCTAAAAACTGACATTTTATCCAAAACAGATTGAATGTATCGATACTAGCCAAGAGTATTGATACTCTTGCAAAAGTTTCGATACTTTATATAAGTACCGATACTTCTAAACATTTTTTTGCTTAGTTTCAATACTTTTGGGAGTTTTGAAACTATGACCCAAAGTTTCGATACTCTTGAAAGAGTTTCAATACTCTTGCCTAGAAAACACGATTTTACCCAGAAACGAAGAACAAGTATCGATACTAACCCTATAGTATTTATACTCTACCTGCATAAGTCATAAAACAAGCATGAAAAACTCTAATTTTCAATCCTAAAGACCCTAGTGAAGTCCCAAAACATTTTTTTTAAAAGTTTATGTGATATTAAGGGAGCATAAATAAGGCTTAGAAACAAGTTGAAAACATTAAACATAAAATCTAACATATAAAGCTACTAAACATGCTTGATCTCAACTTTCTAGCTAAAACTCCTATCTAATGATTCTAAAACTGGTATAGAAAAGCTAATAGTGTGTTACCTGGATTCTATGAATGCTAGAACACTTCTTGAATCAACTAGGGATCCACTCTTCATTTTCCCTTGGCTTGAACTCTCTCTTCATCCTCTTTAACTAATCAAAGTATAAAAATAGATTACTTACTTAACTAAGTGTTGGATAAAGATTAGATACACTCCCTACAAATCAAACACTCTCCTAAAATGACTTAAAACATTTGATTTCTAAAAACACATAAAAACCCATTTTTAAAAAACTAAGCCAAATCTTGAAATTAAGGGCTCTAATGGAAGCTTAGAAGATGAAGAATAAATTCTTTCCTTGATTGCTTTAATAACTACACTTTTAGTCTTTCTCCCTTTAACTCACTTTTAAAAACACCACTATCCTTTAATTATTGGACCAACCTAAGCCCAAACCCCTTTTTGAACTGATCCAACTATCTTAAGCGGTCTAACTGGCTTGACTTATGGGTTTCGGGTTGACCGAAACTACTGACTCAGGTTCTGGAGCATTACATGAAGCATATAGTATATTGCAATTTGATAATCCTTCGTTGACATATAATTATGATTCCCCATAGTTAAAAGGTTTGCTTTTAGAATTGTTTTAAGGGAATACACATGTTAATTAAACCCTGATGTCATATGGACCTCACTGTTTCATCTTGAGAATTTGGGAGGGCAAAAATTAACATGGCCCTAATTCATGTACCCTTCACGTCTTAACGTGAGGTCATTTTCTTTCACCCGAAAACAGTCATTACCGTTGGGTAGAATGTTTTGGACTCACCTTTGTGTTCATATACAAATGTAAGATTTTATTTTAGGATATGGACTTTTAGTAAATTATAATAAAATTTAGAGATGAAATTATAAAATTTTAGGGATATAAAATTAAATTATTAATAAAAAAATATAAAAAATTATCTAAATTAAATGAGAATTTAAAATTTTCAAGGGTGTTGCCGCATCTGAGCACCACTCGATCTACCTTTGTTTGTATCAATGTCCATTTTTAAGCTTCCATCTTACATTCAGTAAACAAATTAATTTCATTCACAGAACATGGTGTTGTGCCCTTTGGTCAACGAGTTCTGCCTTCTTTTTTTCGAGTACAAGCCCTTCAACGCAATCCATTGAATTTGTTGATGAATTACCATCAGTTTTTTATGATCAGATTCACCCCACATTCTGCATGTGTTGATTCTAGTTGTAACCAGAAGTGGAACAAAAATTTGGTTTGGGAAGTTAGGAATACGAGTAAATTATACAGAGATACTCGTTATTTGTCTTAAACCAAAGCACGTATGCTCTCAAAACATTGAAACAATACATTAATTATTCAAGAAGATTCAGGTACGATCAATGTACTAATACATAGTTAATGCCATAGCTACCAAACAGAAAACATTACTGATAATAATGGTAACAACTATATATTATTAAAACGGAGGGGAAGATTTTCAAAAGGGTACAGTACAGTCCAAGACGTACGTAGCCGTAAAAAAGCATTAACCAGAGCATAATTTGCGTAGAAACTGAGACCACGAGTGGCACTTTCTGGACCTTAGAACATGGGGAAATTAGAGAGAAAGAGTTTGTGGTGCCATGTATCATAAGGAGGGAGAGCAAGTTGTTCTCATTTAATTTGAAATTTATGATCTGATTATGACTATGTTCATATTTGGTAGTTCCACCTGCAAGCCGAGCTCAAGGACCACCATTACCAAAGTCCATAAATATTCATATACCAAGAGGTCATCTGCAAGAAAAGGGAACTCTTTATTTGCATAATGTGCATGATTAATGCAATTGAGAATATGATATGGGATTCAAATGTGCTCAAATTATATCAAACAATCACACGTGCCACTGAAAGTTTTAGTATTTCAAATGAGGATGGGATTATGTTTAGGAATAGCTAATGTCTTCTCTCTTGACCTGCCCTTTTTTTTCAACACTGTATGGTCCAGTGGGGCAGTTTCTGTCCTCCCAATCTCACCATTTTTTTAATTGTTAAGGCGCAATTTGCTATGGCACATTGGCAACTAAGGTTGGGAGTTCCTGATTCATTGAATCATTGCCAAACTTAGGCTATTAGAAACCATGGTTATATATTTCGATAAGATTGCATAATTTTTGGACACCAACTTTGACTGGTTCTACTCGTGTAATAACTAGCTAATTAGTAATTCCTTTTTAAGATTTACTAGGTAACCTATACCAACCAAAATCAGACATAGGAAAATGAAGGGAGGTGGGCTAGTCCTCGAGTAATAGAGGGAAGGTTGAAGCCCGAGAGAGAGAGAGAGAGCTGGACCATGGTGTCTTTTTGTAGGGCAACAGACAACAAGTTGGAGTAATCCCAATGAGGTTGCCTTTGAGGGTCCTCCTGTAACTCGTGTACAAACCCCCAAAAACACCCATGGTTTGTCCTTTGTCCTCACAAGGCCACAACTTAACATGACTCTGTTTCTCCATCCTTTTCGAACTCTATTACCTAACCATATAAATATATGTATACATATCCCCCCCTTCCATTCCAACCTTCATCACATCTATCTAAACTCTTCTCTCAAATCTAAACCCCAGTAGGAGTTCAAAGAAGATGGCCATCAGGAAATCAAACAAGTTGCCTCAGACAGCAGCCATCAAGCAAATCCTGAAGAGGTGCTCCAGCTTAGGAAAGAAACAAAGCTACGATGATGAGCAGGGACTCCCTCTGGATGTCCCGAAAGGCCATTTCGTTGTATATGTGGGTGAAAACAGAAGCAGATACATTGTCCCCATCTCTTTCTTGAACCGACCCGAGTTTCAGAGTTTGCTTCATCAAGCTGAAGAAGAATTTGGGTTTTATCACGACAGGGGTCTCACCATTCCTTGTGAAGTAGTTGCTTTCCAGTCTCTGACATCCATGCTCAGATGAAAAATATGAAATTGATTCATTGCTTCTGTCATCAGAATTTCTCCTTCTTATCTTCTTTTTTTCCATTTTACCAAGTTGTTTAAACTCTAACCCCAAAACCCATAAACATTATTTAATTTATGTGGGTTTTTAGACTTGTATATCAACTGCCAATGCACCCCCACTCTGTGATGGAAGGGAACTAATATCAAGATATTTGGCGTTACCCATCGTCTCATTTATCTTATTTTCCTTGCATATTTGTTATGTCTCCTAGTCTTCGGTTTATTTATGATTAAAAAAACAGCTATAACTAACAGACAGACAGACATATGTCATTGGAATGTTCTAGCACAGATGATGAAACCAAACCCAAAAGAATTCTGAAAGGAAATTACAATTCTGGTTTTCCGACTTGCAATCCTAATTCCTATGCAAGTTTGAGTTCTTTTCCCACAACATGTGTGCGGACTGCACAATACTTTGCCCACTTGATTCCATCAGAAATACAGTTTTTTCTTCTTTTTACACATTCTGTTTTATCGATCATTTGACCTCTACAATACATGTTTGAAACAAAACCACTAATGAACGTTCAACATCCATCTAGAAGAATCTAATGAATAATTTCATTAGTGGAAAAGAATATTGCTTTTCTTAAAAATTTTGAGTTTGAACAACTATATATGTAGGTTATGGCCGATTCATACTCTCATATACGAATTTTCTTGAATTATTTACTTATTTTATTAATAATGTCAACTTCATTCAGAAATTATGGATCTGTTACGGTCAGGGTTTTAAAAAACGTTTCGCGACCGCGATTTCGTCCACGATATAGCGGTTTCACCGCTGTCCGAGTTACCCGTTATACCTGCAATAACACCCAATAGCGTCTGTAACGGCTGTAATAACATTCGCGACGGCCACAATCACAATAAATTCGAAATGACCGAAAACACGACCGTGACTTAAAATCTTGGATACTGTTAGGGTGTGTATATATTATCTATAACTAAAAAAAATTCTAAACATAATTATCCTATACCATCCGGAGGATCCACAAAGATGAAATCAAGTATATTATATGTAGTGAAGTGATGAGCCACAAACTGGACGGTTCAGATGATGTTTTTGATAGATATAACACTGTAATATAATATTTTCCACAATAGCGATGCAGGGTTGCACTGCACTCTGTAAAATTTTAAAAATATTTTATTTGTTGCATTGGACCACCTTTAACATTAAAAAAAAACCCCTACTACTGCGCCTTACTGACCAGAGACTATGATCCTTAGATGGCAATAGTCGACATCAACCGATGCCATTTTCAGGCTGTTTCTACCTTTTGAATTTCGCTGCAGATAATCGAAAGAGTGACACGTAATTTTCAATTTAACTGGTATAAACAGTTTTCTTTTTTTTAAAAAAAATCATTTCGAAAATAAATTGTTTCAAGTAGGCTAATTATTTTGAGAGTACATTTTAAAAATATTATATATAATTATAAGAAATACTTGTGGTTGGTTGGTGTAAACAGTTTTGTTTAGGGGAATTAGGCTTCATCTATTCAGTTGGTTCAATGCTATCTGCCTACCTTGGAATTAATTAGTTCAGAGGCAACTCATAACTATAATTATAATGTAGCTAAATTATATAAGCATGCATTATAAATTGTAAAGCTAATAATAGAAAGGGCGTGGATTATATATAATCAGTGGAAATATTCCATGTGATCTTGTATTATATCAAATCAAGTGGTTACGATGTCGCTTTATATATTTCTGATAATGAGTACTACATGATAATGAATTTTAAGCACGGGTGGCAACGGGTTAGGCGAGGACGGTTTTGCATTACCCATTTCATTCCCAATATTTGTGGGTACGATTTTAGAGAATCCTCATTATATGTTTCGAGAATTTTTTATTCTAATACCTACCCCTTACGGATCTTTGGGCATTTCGGTTAGTCCTCATCCCAAAAAATAAATAAACATTTTTGAAATCAATACAACACTTAAAACTTGTAAGATATATCAGATTGTTTCAAATTGATCTCTAATATGAAAGTTTCAAACGTCAATATTCATCTAACACCCAATGTATATGTACAATTTTAACAATTTTCAATCTAATGTATAATAAATGAGAAAAAAAAATTAAACTTCAATTTTAGTTCCTTTGAGATGTCACAGTGACAACACGTAATCTCACATACATTTTTCGGGGATCTCACGGTTATTTTTGTAAGATCAATGATCCCTACAATTATTTTTTGGAATTCTCACGATTATTCACACGGGTATGGTTCGGTTATTCCCACGGAGCGGATATAGCAATCCTCATCCCCATTTAAGCTTCAGGGATAAAACTTCCCCTATCCCCATCCCCGTGGGTAAAGATTTCGGTTTTTCTTCATCTCGTCGGTTCGAACGCCCACGGGTTTCAATTTTTCCCCACCCGATCACCACCCTAATTTCAAGCCTAATGGTATTTTTTTATTATCACCTAAACCTTGATTACAAAGTTGTTCGATGTATTAATACCTATTCAGAGTTAGTTATGAACCTTATACAATTATCATCAAACTGCTATACCTAAACAAGGAAAACAAGGAGAAGAAAGACGTGAACTAATCTACCTCAATGTTAAAAAAATAATTGTTATTTTTAGAGTTTTCAAGTTTAAGTACCAGAAATTGTAGGGAATTTGAGTGTCAATTGTTAAATGATGAAAAGTCTTTAGAACAAACACTATGACTTGTAAACACCATACATTATTAATAAAAAGAAATAAAGAGAATTTTTTTAAAAAAAATATCTAAAATAAATTATTTTAGATGTTTAAACTTTATTCTTTTTATTAAATAAGTTTTTAACATTTTGTTTTATAACCTATTTGTTGAACTATGTTTTATAATGTTTTGATATAACAAATTAAGGAAAAATATTTTTGGACTTAATTAAATTTGCTCAAAGTTTTCAAAATATTTAAAAAATAATTAAAAGTCCATTAAACTAGGATTTGAGCAGAAAACTGTTTTTCAAAGCACGAAGTACCGATAATGTTTTTACAATATCGATACTATATTAACAGTATCAATATTGTTCATGTGGTACCGATACCAAAGGTAAGAGAAGTATCGATACTCTTAAGGTAGTATTGATACTACCAGCTTGCTCAAATTCCAGAATTCAAAATAGGTACCGATACTCAAAGGAGTATTGATACTACTTTACATAGTAGTATCGATACCATGAGCATAGTATCGATACTGGTCATACCCAACGGCCTTTAACGGCTAGTTTATTTAAAAATTATAAAGGTAGTACCGATACTCATTAAAGGAGTATGGATACTCCCTGTCTTGGCAATTTTATTTTGTAGAAAAATATTCCCCAACGGCTAGAAACGTCCACAAACACATTCCAACATATAAAAACAAGTTGAGGACATTTGAAGAGGTGTTAGAACACCTATCCAAACAATCAAACATAAGAGAAGAGCTTTTAACTCCTAGTTTCCTTTCTGTTGTAAATATTAGTGTTTAGTGAGCTTAATTTTGTAAACACCTACCTTGTAAGGGTTTTCTTGTTTACATTTCTTATCCTTTGTGAAAAGGGGAGTGGTTATAGCTAAGCCCTTTAAAAGCTAGGGAGTTTGCAAAGGTTATCTCTTTATCCTGTAAAAAAAAGAACAAATTAGTGAATTTGTTAGAAAATCCTTAGTGAGGAGCTAAAGTAGTGGATGCATACTTGGTTGAGAAGTCGAACCATTATAAATCCTTGTGTTAATTGTCTATCCTTTTAGTGTCCTTACTCCCAAACTCAAAATCCACTTCAACCCCTCTTGGCAATTAATTCAATTGATCATTGAGATTCATCACAAATATCCCAACAATTGGTATAAGAGCTTGACTCGTTAGAATGTTCAACAACCTTGATACGATCCTTGAAGAAGCTCTACCGATTCCAGATGCAACCGAGAAGATGGTTTCGACCTCCGACTCTTACTACATTAAAGACTCTCAACTGGTCAACAAGCCACCTTATTTCAATGGAGCAAATTATGCCTATTGGAAGAATATGATGATGCTATTAATTCAGCCAACGATCTAGGATCTTGGAACTCAATCATGAAAGGAAACTTCATTCCAACCGATGAGATGGATGATCGGAGTGATGGAGAGAAGAAGAAGTTCCAACTCAACGCAAAGGCTATGCACATTCTATTTTTTGCATTAGGCCCGGATGAATATGGAAGAGTTTCATCTTGTTCTAATGCTAAGGATATTTGGGACAAGCTACAAGTCACTCATGAAGGAACCAATGAAGTGAGGAAAACCAAAATCAGTATTCTCAATCATAGCTATGAGAATTTCAAGATGAAACTGGATGAAGACATCAAAGTTATGAAGGATATATTTTCCGTGATTGTCAACGGTCTCAAGGGATTTGGAGAAGTTATCCCTAATGAGAAGCTTGTGATGAAGATGATTTATTCTCTTTCAAAGTCTTGACAATAGAAGAAGATGACGATCATCAAATCTAAGCACCTAAAGACTCTTACTCTTGATGAGCTTATTGGTTCTCTTCTTACTCATGAGTTGATGATAAAGGAAGAAGAAGAAGAAGACGAAAAAAAGAAAAACAAGAAGAATGAGATAGGCATTGCCTTCAAATCCACCAATGAGAGAAATCAAGACTCAAGTTAAGAGGTGGATGAAGATGATGACGAAGAAGAAGATATGACCAAGCTTTTCAAAAGATTCAAGACTTCTAAGGAAGTGAAGCATGAATCAAGGGAAAAGAATGGTCCCCCCGTGTGCTTCGAATATCAAAGAACGGGGAATGTCAAGTATGATTGTCCCCTCTTAAGAAGAAGGGATCAACTAAAAAAAGGTATTTGTGGTGGCTTAGAGTGATGAAGATGAAGTAGTCAACCTATGCCTCATGACCATCAAAAAAGATTCAATGGTAATTTCTAGCTCTAGTGAATCAAATTCTTATTCTTTTAATGAGTTACAAGTTGCCTATAATGAGTTGTATTTGGAATTTGAGACCATGAATTCCAAATATAATAAATTAATTTCAAAATTTAAAGTTGAAAATGATTTGATTCTGAAAGCAAAAGTTGATTTTGAAAAACAAAATGAAATCTTGAAAAATGATTTATAACTTTCAAAAA